ATCCTTTTCTGCCTCTGCACTGACGAGAAGGGAGTTCCCCAGCCTGTAGGTACGGTGCTGGTTCTTCCTCCCCAGGTGCATCACCCTGCACTTGTCAGTGTTGAAACCCATCCTGTTCTCATCTGCCCACCCCTGTAACCTGTCCAGATCTAGTTGTAGCCTGTCCCTTCCTTCTAGCATGCCCACTTCTCTCCACATCTCAATGTCACCTACGAACTTGAACAACATGCTTTTCACCCCCTCGTCCAAGTAGCTGATGAAGTTGTTGAACAGTGCGGGCCCGAGGGCCGAGCCCTGGGGGACCCCGCTGCCCACATCCCTCCAGGCTGAAAATGACCCGTCCACCACCACTCTCTGGGTGCAGCCCTCCAGCCAGTTGGCGACCCATCTGACTGTGCAGGCATTGATGCCACAGTTGCCTAACTTTTTAACGAGAATGGGGTGAGAGATGGTGGAGCCTTCCTAAAGTCCAGAAAGACTACGTCCGCTGCTACCCCTGCGTCTAAGGATTTTGTGACCTTGTCGTAAAAGGCCACCAGGTTGGTCTGACAGGATCTGCCCTAACGAACCCAGGTTGGTTGCCCCTAAGCATAATCTCCCCTGCTGGTCCCTCGCAGATGTGCTCCTGGACAATTTTCTCAAAGACCTTCCGCAGGACCGAGGTAAGACTAACGGGTCTCTAGTTACCTGGGTCCTCCTTCCTCCCTTTTTTGAAAATGGGGACCACACTGGCCTTTTTCCAATCCTCTGGCACCACACCAGAGCACCACAAGTGCTCGTAGAGCTGTGCCAGGGGTCCCGCAATGTCCTCTGCCAATTCCCTCAGCACCCTGTGGTGGAGATCATCTGGGCCTGCTGATTTGAACACATATCCAGCCCCTCCAGAAGGTCCCTGACCAGGTCCTCTCTGACAGTGTGGGGGATATCCTGGTCCCTGCTCAGAAATATGGAGGCAAAGAATTTGTTATAGAGGTCAGCTTTATCATCTGGTGCAACCACCAGATTGCCAAGTGTGCCCTGCAGGGGCCCCACGTTACCTGGCGCCTTCTTTTTACTCCCTGTGTATTTTAAAAAAAGACTTCTTGTTGTCTTTGATCCAGCTTACTAATCCCAGTTCTGTCTCCACCTTGGCTTTCCTGACAGCCCCCCTACAGTCTTGAGCAACGGAGGTATAATCCTTCTTGGTGATGGCCCCTCCCTTCCACCAGGTGTACACCTCCTTTTTAGCTTTCAGGTGTTCCTGAATGTCTTTGGTGAGCTGTGGAGGCTTTTGAGCACTCTTGCCCCCTTTGATTCGCGTTGGGACTGTCACCCCTTGGGCTCGCAGCATCGTCTCCTTAAGGAGCGACCACTCATCTTCCCTGCCTTGTGTTCTTACTGCTGAAGGCAAATCATAAGAGAATTAAAAAAAAAGTCACTTACTTCCAAACTTTGTAGGGGGAGAAGCCCTCCCATGTCTACATGGTGCTGGCCCCAAGGCTGAAGATGCACAATTGAGCACATCAGTGGATGCAGAAATGGATAAATCTAGGACAGGAAATTTAAACTGAAGAGCAGGGAGAACTTAAAGGTCTATCTGGGTTGGTCACTTGTGGGGAATCTCGTAGGCTCTGTTGCCTGGAACTTTAAAGACTAAAGTGGGCAGCTTGTTATGAAGCTGCCATGGGCCTGTTCCTGCCGTGGCAGGGAGACAGGTTGGAGAGTCGAATGCATCTTTCCCATGATTTGATCAGAGCGAGCCTTACTTTGAAAACCATACTGTGCACACATGTTCTCTAATCATGGATTTGGACCTAAAATGAGCCCCTGAGCTTCTGCCAGCCAAGACTTTGTTAATAAATGTGCTTGTTTAAAAAAAAATGGAAGGAGGGGAGGGAAAGAGGCTTGAGATTTTCTGCCCAGTGGCCCTGTGGAAGTGACCATCTCTGTTTGCTTGATGTGCTCCAGGGGAAACGGGCTCAGGGAAGACCACTCAGATTCCTCAGTATCTCTATGAAGCTGGAATTGGCCACCAAGGCATCGTTGCTGTGACCCAGCCACGAAGAGTAGCTGCCATATCCTTAGCCACCAGAGTCTCAGATGAGAAGAAGACAAAGCTGGGGAAACTGGTATGTTGTTATATGGTTCTTTTCAATAGTTGGTCTCAAGTAAAACAGTTGAGATGCATCATGGTGTTGAGTGGGTGGGAAAAGCAGATGGTGGGAGCAGTTGTCTGAGCCCTAGAACAAGAACGGATTTGGATGTAATCTGCACTTAATAATATGCCAGAATAATGATGCTGTTTCTGCATCCAGTCTGCACCTAGGGGTTGAGTGCTGCTTGGCTACCTCAGTACTTTAAGCACCATACCGTGTGACAGTCACCTGTGCTCTCTTGCCATATTCTCTGATATATTGCAGTGCAGAGTACAGTTGATGTCAGCAGTTGATGTCCAGCCCAGGCTGGCCCAGTGAGCAGAGCTGTGGATCTTAAAAAATTATTAGAAAACCTGTTAGTGGATGAGAGAGCAAGAAATAAATACAACATTTGCCCATTGTTAAAGGAATAGACAGTAGCTTCCTGGAAGCCTGGGATGTAGGAGAGAGAAGAGCTTCCTGGGTTTCTGAGTCTGGTCCCCTGCTGCTGCAGGCAAACCTGTTACATAATCTCTTTCATAACCAACATGTTGGTGGATTTAAACAGGAGCAGAAGTATTTTAGCGGGTGTATTTCCAGCACTCTGAGGGCTCAATGTGTTAGGCTTTTGGGTGGCTTTCCAAGTAGTGGCCAGACCCTCTTGCATTCTCGGAGGTGCACGTTGTGGGGGTGGGGAGTCATCACTAGATTCATTTTTCTTAAAGTCAAGCTGCGTAACTAAAGTCCAGAACAAAGCATGCTTGTCACCAAGGTCTGCCTCCAAGTGAATCCTCTCTCTCTCCTTTCTCTTCTCCTTTCCACCTTGCAAGTTCCTTGTAAAGCACGTTTGTCTTTTTGCTGATTGCCTGTGGAGCTTGTTCTGTTTTGGTATATTAGGTATATTGCAGGTGTTATTTATATATATATAAAAAAAAAAAAAGTAACGGCTAGCCCTTTGTCCACTGCAGAACCGAGTTGGATGTTAATGCAAGTTTTGTATGTCAGCTGCGCTTATAGATTTTATTCTGTTTTAATATCTTGTATATATTAAAGTTAATAAGTCAGGTGATCCTTTCCCTGGCTTCTGGGAAAGGGGGTTTATATCCTGAGCATGAATGTATCAGATGTGTTTAAAGTGAACGTCCCATCCTAGTTTATTTAAAAAAAAAAAAAAAAAAAAAAAA